AATGTTGCTGGGCTTTATGAACAGCGCAGCAAGTGGACTACGTTGCTTCAATTCCAGATAGTTACTTTAATATAAAGCCACCAGAATTACGTACGAGTTTCATTATGCCACCAGAATTAATTCAAATTAGTTAGTCAAGCCTGGTTAGCCGAAGCTGAAAATACGAAAATGTTAATAAATACATGTAGTCTCTGTGACCCTGTCTCTTACCAAAACTGTACGATCTCAACGATGGAAGATAAGAATCCAAAATCAATGGCTGAGATGGAATCGAAATACTTCTAAAATTAGGATTGAGATGAGGTTTGGGTCCATACATGCTTAAATAATGACAATGATACATCTGACTTTTTCGTTTGAGATAAAGCATCTCACGAGTTTTCTTTGTTCTTGCGTCTCCAAATTGTTGACAAAACGACATTGTTTCAGCCGCCTTACCCCGCACGGTGTTTTCCTACGTGCATGGACTTTTTACTTATCACGAAATTTTGTATTCTAACGACTTCTAAAAAAAAAAAAAAAATCTCTATCAAATTAATGCTAATTTTCTTATTCTCTAATGTTGCATACTTATTCTCCTCCTCTGTTACGTTCATCTCCTTTTGAAATGCACGACCAATCAATCCTCCTCGTGGTTTTCTTTTGTCCCTAATCTTATTACATGACATACTTAATGGGAAATCGGGTAATTACGATATGACCGCAATGTTCAGGTTGTTTTTCTCCGTCCCAAATGGAGTTTGAATCCAGGCACAAGAGATTTAGATAAATAAAAAAACCAACTATTATTTCATTAAAATTAATTGCAACTTTTGATGGTGCTTCACTTGTAAAATCAAATTTGATCAATTTCAAACGTGCTGATCAAGCCACAGTCTGTCTAAATATTAACAGAATGTGGGATCAAAAACATTTAAGAAAACGACCAATGTTGATCACAAATCTGGAAACTAAGTCAATTTAACCAATTCAAAATAGTTTGTTTCGAAAGCATGATTTATTATTTAGAAATTGAGTCAAATTTGGATGATTATTTTAAGTAGGATATTAGTTTATATATAAGAAATTGTGATGGGATCATAATGATAGTTATAACTAATAACCGTAATATATAATATTGTAAATTTAGAGATATGCATGGGTTCAAATATATAATTAATTATAAACCACAAACGTATGAGTTGTTTTGATTGGGAATTAATTTATAAGTTTACAGACACTTTACAATTTGTAACGATTAGATGGTACCAATCACAAAAGCGATACCAAAAGCTTTACACTCAGCTTTAATTGTGAAACTTAAACTTACATCTGTTTCTTACAGTTTTGCACTATATTAACAACTCAAGCTTACCGCTGAAAAACTTGATATATTCATATCTTTACACTTCCTATGTACATATTTGCATACTTTTATCCCTCATTCAGCATCATTCTGCATCATTTATGACTTCGTTAGCTTAGTTTAGCTTAGATTTGCATCTTAGGGCCCTAGATTAGTGTTTTGTACATATTCTTCTTCTTTTACTCTTTTTCAGGTGGTATATGTGCTAATATAGAGTTATCTGGCTATCAAGAGCCTTGAGGATTGAAGAAGAGCGTTAAGGAATGGAAGCTGGTGGCAAAAATGGGTTTAAAAGCTTAAGGAGAAAGTAGAGGAGCATATATCGGTCATTGTATATCGGTGATAACCGATAAACCGCACCTGGAACAGCGGAACGATGGAGTCTCATCAGATATATTGTGGGTTGAGAATCAGGATACCGGTTGCCACTGAAATTTGGAGCAGCGATATCCCATGTTATCCCCTTGTCACGGTAGAGCATCAAGACTCTCTGACTGCTAAACGAGGCACAATATATCAACAGAACCTAAAACTGAAGACACCGATATCTCCTGATATCGATACAAGTTGATGAAGACGACCGATACTCTGCACAGATTGAACTGGAACGGCGCATGATATCGGTCACTTCCCTGATGTAGGAGTGACCGATCCTTCTTACATTTTGTTGACTTTTTTTGGTGATCAGTTGACTTTCGCCGGGTGATTCGGTATGAGTTGGATTGATCCGAATATTATTTTAAGGGGCTATAAATATGTCTTTAACCTAAGTTTTTTTTTCTCGTCTCTTTTAGAAAGCTTTCCTTTTACGCACTTGTAGTTGTTGCCTCTTAGAGCATTAATCACTTGATGTTCTAAGTTCTTTACATTATTAAGCTTTAATCTTACCTTTAAAGTTTTAATCTTTACGCTTGATTTCTTTTCTTTTATGCATTTACGTTCTACACATCACCCTAGCTCGGTCATGATTCGTTCCATAGTCATGAGTTAGTAGTCTCTTTATTGAGCTATGAGTTAGTAGATTTAGGGGCTTTAGAATGTGGCTAATGTTACTTCGGCTTATATACTACGTGTTCTCAAGCTTAGGTTGAGCTTAATGGTAGGTTCTCGACTCGCATCTCGAACCTTGTTGATAAGCATTCTCTTGCCCGAAAGATGTTTGTGGGAATGCTTGAATGACGTTTTACTTGGCTTAGTCTCTTTGGCCACGAAAGTTGATGTCAAAGTGCTAAGTGAGCTTATTGGACTTAATCGGTCATGCTTGGAGAGTGTTTACATTCAGCAGCGAAAGTTAGTCAAATTAAAATACTTAACACATTAATTAGTGCCACGAAAGTGGGCTAATTTGATTTAGTGTTCCATGCTTATGAATTGAGCCTTTTACTTAAAGCCTTTAGCTTTATTAGGCACGGTTTATTGCCCCTTATCTGTTGCTCCCATTGCTCAATGCTCTCCATCTCATTACATTTAATCTAGTCTTTGCTCTGTTTATTTACTGCATTATTACATTTTTTAAGCTTAGTACAACCAAATCCAAACCCTACTTATGCTTTAGCTTAACATAAATTCTCCATGGTTTAGTACTCTAAATCCTAGTCTTCCTTGTGTTCGAACCCTATGCTTGCTACAATTGAATCATGAGTTAGGTTGATTAGCTTGCTAAGATTGTATTTGATAAGTTTGCATGCTAAAAGAACTCTAATCAAAACCTATACCGCTTTTGGTACCTAATATCTTGCTTCATCGTAAACTTAAAATATTGGTGAGAAAAATTTCTTGGTTCATCGATACAACGATGGAATAATATAGAGATTTCAACACAAAATTATTATTCACTAAAGATTGTCCACACATTGCGTGGATTTAAAAATTAACATGGTAAAATATGAAATAATTCTAGGTTATTGATTATTCATGTATTTAATATTACAAAAAGTTGTTGTTGTAGTAAATAATTATCTAGGTTAGAAAATTAATCATTTGGAGTAAATTGTTGAACATATACAATGTTTTATGTGAAAATAAATAGAATATTCATTAATAAAAATTACAGCGTATGCATATGGACGATATCTTCTTTTGCACAAATCCGCACCTTGTATGTCTTTATCAATATTCACTGCGGTTCCCTAAAAAAAATACTGGTCGTCTTTTTTCTTGCATCAAATACGTTTGTAAAAAAAAATATTGATCAGACAAGTTGTAGTATGTTTGCTTGTATCGAGATATATGTATCATCTCAATAGAGATGTTGGAATATATTATGATGCTTGATTGTACTTTTTTTTTTACTTTTGGCTTTTTAATTTATTTATTGAAGAGAAAAGGAAAATTAAATGTTTTTTAATAACTTTACCAATTATTTTAAACAATTTAATAGCTAATTTTGATGTAAATTTTTTTTTTGTCTGCAACTGATTATCATTTCAGAAAAGCCCAAATGGCATAATATAGAAGGATAAAGCCCAATAGGCTCAGGAGGATTACAACGAATTAACCTAAACTAAACCATAATTTTTTGAAGATAAGGCTAAAACACAATATGGTTCAGCAGTGGAAACGTGGTCTTCTCACCACCACGCATTCCATCATTGAGCATCATCGGAAAATTCGCTGGACACCGCTTTCACCGATCAACCGCCGTCAATCGTCCATAGAGCGATAAGAGAACCCTCCTCCCTTCTACCGAACTCAAATCCACTTAAAAAACCGTCGAAAACCACCGAATTTATCACTGAAAACACTTCAAAAATTTCTCCAACACTCACCAAACCCGAGGAAACTCCACTACCGACCACACCCAAGCAGTTGATGTAGTCTTAGATCCTCTTTGCTCCTGCGTCCTGAGCAAAAGGAGAGAGAGTGATGAAGATATTACTCCACAAAACTTAGAGAGATCAGAGAGAATCTTGAAGAACAGCAGAGTAATCGACGGGATGAAACACGGTGGAAAAGAGATCGAGAAAAAAACATTCGGACTTAGCCGAAAAATCACCAGAAAAACCAGAAAGTCGATCCGCTAAACGGAAGAAAATATCTAAATAACAAAAGCACAAAGAAAGGAAAATATAAACAAACCGGACCAAAAGTGTGGCTGAGGGAAGCCCACACCGCCGGCTGGAAAGACAAGATCAGATCGACAGAGTTTCTTAGAGAAAAGAGTTTTCTAGAGAGCTTTAGCTAATTAATTACAATTAAGTGTCTTGTGTATATTAATGTACATAATTATTTTATGTATAGAAAATATAAACTTTATTTATCAAATTCAATAATTGACAACTTTATTATTCTAACAACTTTAAAATTCCTAAAATCACTAATTATTTTCTCACACCATTTTTATTGGTTAGTGTTACAATTTTTTTTATTAAAGCTTTTTATGACATTATTTTGTGCTTTTTTGTTGTAAAATCGTAGTTACCAATATAAAGTTTTAAATGTTTTTGTATAGTCTATTGATGGGTTTACTAAGTAAAATATAAAATTTTCAAACCGTTAAAAGTTCTCAATAACACATTTAATTTGGAATTATAGTTTTTGGTGGATATTAAAGAAAGAAGAAAAAATAACGGTTAAAGTTTTATTGGCTTATTA